AATTTTTGAAATAAGACAAGTTGAAAGATAGACTCTTGTAGTTGTTCAGTCATGTGACCCTATTTGAGATTTTCTTGGCAAAGATACTGGAGTGGGTTGCCATTTCCTCCTCCAGCTTATTTGCAGATTGAGGAATTCAGGCCAACAGGGTTAAGTAACCTGCTAAAGGTCACACAGTTAATAAGTGACTAAGGCCAGATTTTAACTCAAGAAGAAGACTCTTCCTGACTCTAGGCTCAGCACTCTATCCACTGTGCCACCCAGCTACCCAAAGATAGATTCTCATAGATATATACTAGAGACCTTCTGGGTAATACCACACGATTGGTAAATATATTTTGGAATTCAAACAACTGTGGGTCCACCTACTAGTTTAATCACCCAACCTATATTTCACTATCTTACCTGAAAGAATATGAGGGCCTGTGAAATATTTTATTGAAATCAAGCTATATTATGTGTATAATGCTCCACTGATTTTAGTATTTACTTAAGGTACTTATGACTTTAATGATATTGATAATACCCTTCTCAGATGCAGACCTCAAGCCTTCTCATCTTAGTAGAATTTCATGAGTTACTTTGCCAGAAAAAAAAATCCATCACCTGGTTGTCCACTTGGTGATGAACATCTCCAAACTTAGCTGGGCTAGTCTTCAGGACAGCAATCATGCTATCTGGTAACAGACCCATGCTTGAAGCCTTTCCAGTTTTGTAGGATCTACCAAGTTTGTGTTCTTCAAGAACCAAGGATCACCTCCACACCATAATGAGGTAATAGGCAAGGATTTTAATAGAACATCAATTTTTTAACCCTGTCCCCAAAATCAATTAAGTTAGTTTAATATGATTTGTTTTTATGTTGACACCTGGTGACCAATTCAGTTTTTTTTCTATAAGCTTATATTTTCTTCCTCTTCTAGAATCTTGCTGAGGATCAGTGCCAAGCTTACTAGTATGTAGTTTCTGGGCACCAATTCTTTTCTCCTTTTAAAAATTAGTTCAGAACTCAACTACCTTCTGTCTTCTAAAGTCGATCCAATTCTCCACAATATCTCAAAGATTACAGATAGTTCCTTCAGCCCACTAAGACGTGCATTTGAACCTCGAGCCTTGAATTCCTTTAGAGCTGAATGCATTTTTATTATCCTTCCCATCCCAGACTTAAGTTCCCTCTTTATGACATTTCTACTGTCCATTACAGGACAAAGTTCATTTTCCTTACTAAAGGAGATGGAAACAAATTAGATGTTAGATAATTCTCCCTTCTCCTTGTCATTGTTAGCATTGTATCTTCTTCCCCAAGGAGCAAGTATTTCCCTTTCTAGTTCTTCTTTAAGACATAGCTTTTGTCAGTCAAGAAGCTTTATTAAGCACTTTCTGTGTGCCATGTACTGTACTAAGTGCTAGGGATACAAAGAAAGGAAAAAAAAACAGTTTTTACTCTCAAGGAGCTTCCCCCCTCCCTCCTTTATTCTTTTCTTTAGCTTTTTTATATGTCTCAATTCAATTTGGAGTTTAGGTCAGTGATAGGCCACTCCATTTCCATCTCTCACATCATCATTTATTCTCTCATACGTTTCCATATATATTTGTCTTCTTTCTAGTATTAGCTTATTTTCCCCCATCAAAAAGAATATTGCCCTGAAACCAAGTGCTGTCTCCTCAATTAGACCCAGAACTTTCTGAGAATTTCACCTTGCTGCTGATTCTTATGAGTGAGTGTATGAGTGAAGGCTGTGTTTAAAAAAACTTAAAAAACAAAACAGTTGAATGATCATGGCATGGCAGAGAGGGAGAGCATGCTCTCATAAAAGTAAGTGGATATTAGAAAGTGAAATATATCCACCCTGAAGGTCTATGTAATGCTTCTCCATGACAACTCTGTGAGATAGGTATTGCAGGTATTATTCTCATTTTATAGATGAGAGATTGAGGCTTTAGAAAGGTTAGGGATCATGCAGCTAATAAGTGTTGGAGATGAGACTTGAACCAGGTCTGTTGACTCCAAGACCAGTATCATTACTGGTTGGATCTATTAGTTGCCACTTTCATTTGCTCTTCAAAGAAGTGGGATTTTATTTTATGTAATATTCTATCATTTAACATTAAGGTTAAATGGGACTTCAAAGGTCATCTAAGGCAACCTCCTTTTATAGCATTTCTGACAGGTGGTCTTAACTCAGAGTAGGCAGGTTCAGTGATAAGGAAGAGCTTCTTGACTATCATTGGAAATCATAGGAGTTGCAGGTCCTTTTAAAAGTCCATCTTTGAGGACAGTGATCCATCTAAACAAATCAGAGGCTCACTCAACCCATCCATCCATTCACTAGTGAATGGGTCATTGAAAGGTGAGTTTTTAGCCACAGAAAAGAGTTTTTCCCATGTTAATACCACCAGCAACCCACCCCAGTTTGAGAAGAGAACACAGTATAAGAAAATTAAGTTTTCAACCTGTCATCACTGTCAGCCCCAAATGCCTTTTACTAGGCACCGAGGTGTGTGGCATTGTGTAGGACTGCACAAAGTCAGGGACACCGAGAAGTCCCACTCTAATATAGAAACATTGACACTGAGAGGACAATTCAGGTCATGCATTAAATGCATCCATAAACAATCCAGGTGCTTATATTGAGTGTTAAGGTAATGGTGCATTGAATAGGAAATTGAAAGAAGAGGAATATAGGTCCTTGAGAGCAAGTACCATATTTCTTGGTTTGAAAATAATCATTGTTGTGCTGATACGTTTTTATTTTTACATCACCATCATTTCTGACTATATCCCTCCCTCTTCTTCCCCATCAAGCCATCCATTATAACAAAGAATTAAAAAGAAAGAGGAAAATGAAGCAGTTCAGCAAAACTAACCAACACATTCCCTCAACCTAACAATATTCCACACCCTAATACCCCACCACTAGAAAGGAAGGAAGAAAGCAGCACCTTCATTCAGTCTTTAAGGAAGCGAGATTTTATTTTGTGTGATATTCTATCATTCAATTTTAGGGCTGGGTGGGACTTCAGAGGCCCCCTTTATGTTTCTTATTAGGTAAAAGAGTCTTTTTCTATTTGCTCGTTCCCCCATGATACACCAAGGGCCCTCATCTAGGCCAAGCACACAGCCCTTTCAATATATACCCTCAGAGTTTCCTTAAAATCATCTAGTTTCCCTCCTTGATAAATAACGCACCCTAGTTCTTTTAAACTACTTTCTGCTGGAGAGTTTTGAGGTGTTTTGGTTTCTAGGAATTCATTTGTACTAATAATGGTCAAGAAACATCCATCTTCATTCTGGTCTAGTAATCTAATTAAAGTTCCTCGTGCCTTCATGTATGTTCTATTGAAGACTTTTCTGAGAGTTTTGCCTAGCACCTTTATCCTGGTGTATTGATCGAATGTATCTGAATTGTTTGAGTCCTGAGGCAGACTGGTGTAGTCCTGTGTTGATCATTAGTTGTCGAACTCCCTTACAACATTATACTTACAAAAATGGTGGACCTGATTTCCTGTACAAATATTGACATAGTGTCTTTGTAATTAGGAGATGTACTATTACATAAATAATATATATGTACTACAACTATTTTTTCATAGCTTTGCAGTATCCCCTTTCTGATTTTAGGATCTTTTACAAATAAAACTTGTCCTAGATGGATCTTATTGTGACTTTTCCTCATTTCACTGGTTCTCTACTACTGTGTAAGGGGCCCCCTTCTCAGACTGGTTCTTTCCTGACAACTATGAAATCAGTGAAGTCCATTTTACTGGGTCACATATGCACAGCCTCTCATCTGCCAATTTTCTTACTCTTCCAAGTTGCCCAAGAATCATCCAGAGACTTACTCAGTAGTCATTGTTCAGCTTTTTTGTGTATCATGGTATTTAGCCAAGGAAGATGGAGAGCAAAGAGAAGAGGAAAAGAATGAAGGAAGGAGGAAGAGAGGGGGGAGAGACAGAGAGATTGAGAGAATTTGTTAAGTACTTATACTGTGCTAAGGGCTGGAAATAAAAAAACAAGCAATCAAGATAGTCCTTGCCCTCAAGGAGCTTGAAAGACAACATATAATTGTAAGCTGAAGGTGGGGGATGGTGTATGGAAAGTGGCATGGAAAGCAGGGTGTGCTAGAGCCAATTCACAGTCTTATGATAGTTGATTGTTAAATTTTCAGTACAAGCACTTACATGTCAGAAATCAGCAAATGCTACAATCAGGCCTTGATTTATTGTGTTGTTGAATGTCTAGACTTAAGAAAACGATGAAGGAAATTTTAATAATGCAGATTAAACTTAGAATTATGCCATGTGTTTTTTTTCCAGAGAGCTAGTTATTAAACATGTATCAGCACACTGATTGATGCACGGAGTCTAGATTCCAGCAAGATAAGGCCAAAGCTCACCTATCAATGCTGAAGGGCCCAGTGGCAGAAACCAAGTTACTGGTGGGGAGGAGATGGAGGTGATGGTCTGAGTAGAGAAGGCATGGTTAATGCCATGGAGACCAGGGTGCCAGGAAATAAAGGCAAAAACTTGCCTATCAGAGCTAAGGGACCTGGGGCAGAGTCCAAAGTTCCAGTGGGGTGGAGGTGAGATAATGTAAGTAAAGAAAGCATAAGAATAAAATCTTGAAACAGGAAAGAAGAAAAGGGGAGGTGGGGAGTGGGACTTAATAGCTGTAGCTACCCTCAAGTATCTGAAGGATTGTAATATAAAAATGGGATTAAACTTGTTTTGCTTACTCCCAGATGGCAGAAGTTGGAGCAATGGTTAGAAGACTCAGAGAGGCAGGTTTGGGCTTGACATAAGGAAAAATTTCCTAAAATTAGAGCCAATGAGTATCCTATCACGGGAGGTTTTCAATCAAGAGACTAGATGACCTCTAGAATTCCTAATCTGAAGTCCTTTCCCAGCTCTGGTATTCTGGGATTCCGTGGGTGAAACTAGTAAACACTCTGTCTAGCCACTGGGGGTAATGTCATATGTTCTTCCTTTTTCCCTTTCAGCTATATAGGAGACTGTGAGATCAGTGTGGAGTTACAAAAAATGCCTGCTGGGGTGAATGGAATACAGGTAGGTATTTTCTTGGGGGACAAGGGAGGGAGTAAGAGAACAGAGAAGGGAGCAGAGAAGAACTCAAGTTAAAGATGAGAGAGAGAGAATTTGGTTACATAGAGAGAGGAAACTCTGAATCTGAAGATTATAAGATTATTCTGGGTTTGGGTCACAGAGAAGGTTTTCAGAGTCCAACTAAAAATGAGGAATGTTCATATTTGTTGAGTTCTGACAAATTCCTAATTAAAAAAAAACACTTTTAAAAAGTTGACTTACGAGAAGTACTCACTGTCTGTGAAGCTAGTGGGGGAGAATCCTTTTGGAGGGGAAATGACAGGAGATTGGTTAGAAAGGAAGGTAAGAGAAGGAGAAAGCATGAAATACAAGGAGTAAAGGAAACCTGCAAAAGCCTGAACCCAATCTCAAGAGTCAATAGATTAAAAAACAAAGGCTAGTTTTGCAATGTTTCTGAACCTCTATGTCATGTTCTGGGTTGAGGCTACTGTCCTGGGCCATCAGGATCCAGGGGAGGACATGAGGGTCAGAAGAAGGGAGAAGAATGGGAGAGTAGATGTGACTTTGGTAAAATTTCTGCACCCACCTTTCACTTGATGTCCTCATGGGACTCTGTCAACATTGACATCCATTCATGGACACAGTCCATAGGATAGGGAACAAATGGCTTTAGATAGTATAAGACTTGTAGATCGAGAGATGGAGGTTAAGACTGGCTAAGTTTGCAAAGGATGATGGGTAAAGGCTGGAGATTGTCTGGTGATGGCTTAAGGTGAGGGACCAGGGCCCAAGTCTTAAACCTCACTAGAGGTTTGTTTTTTGTGTATCATAGTTACAGGGCACTCTTCGTGTGATCCTTGAGCCTCTCCTTTTCGATAAGCCATTTGTGGGAGCCGTGACTGTATTTTTCCTTCAAAAGCCTGTAAGTTTGGGGTTTGGGGTGGGGTGAAGTGGAATGTGAATGGATAACTGAGCACGGGAAAAAGATATCATGATTACCCTCAAAATGCTACATTTGTTGAGTACTGTGCTAGACCTTGGAGAATACAAATAGAAAAATTAGGTTCATATCTGAGCCTTCATTTCCTCACTACTAAAATGAGGGGCTTGATGAATGAATGAATGAATGAATGACACATTTATCTAGTGTTTACTATGTGCCAAGTATATGCTAAGCACTGGGGATACAAGTAGAAAAAGCAAGACATTCCCTGATCTCAAGGAGCTCATACTGTAATTGGAAAAGATCGCATATCAAAGAAAGCTCAGCTGTAGAGCAGAGGAAAGGGCCCATCAGTTCTAAGAGTGCATCAGTGGGGTAAATAGCAAGGCCCAGAGTTCCTTAGGATGCCACAGTAGTTAAAACAACACTGCTGAGAGACCACAAAGCCTAAAGGGCAGACAGGAAGGCCTGGTGGTCCTCTATCTCATCAGAAGAAATGGAGTTGTTGCCACCCATCTCATCTAAGCCCTGTGAACAGACATGCAGCCAGCTCCAAGGAGGGAGGCAAGAGTGTAGGTTTTCCTCCATGGTAGCCATTTTCCCACCAGCTGGCAGGAAAGTCCAGAAGTTTATTCTCGTCAGACCACATCTACAGTATTACATTCTGGACATCATTTTGTAAGCAGGACATTGACAAGCTCAGGTAGGTCCAGAGGAAGGAAGTCAGAATAGTGAAGTCTTATAGTCACACTAGACAAGAATCACTTGAAGGAGCTGGGCATAATTCGCCTGAAAAAAAGAACACTCAAAGAGAATGTGACCTTTGGGTGGATGTCATGCGAAAGAAATAGGAAACTTATTCTGTATTGCTATAGGTTGCAGAATTAGGACCAGAGGAATTACAGTAAAGCAGATATCAGCATAAGGGATAAAGTCATAACAGAGATGTCCAAAATGGAACATCCTTCTTGGGAACTGCCTTCTCAAGTAGTAAGTTCCTTGTCACTAGACATGTTTGAGCAGGGACTGCATGACCTCTTGTCCAAGGTATAGTATACATAGTAGGTATTAGGTATCAAATGAGATTATATTTGTAAAGCATTTAGCACAGTGTCTAGCACATAGTAGGTGCTATATAAATTCTAGCTATATATTATCATCATGGAATTGGACAGGTCCTTTTCAGCTCTGAGGTTCCATTACTTTAGACATGACATGTTTCTTGTCCTTGAGGACCTTATAAAACTAAAGAAAGTGAAACATGCTCTACTTATCTTCTGTCTACCCTGTACTTTTGAAGGGGAGTATGCTGATGGAGTCTGATACTAGAGAATTAAACTCAGGACATAGAAGGTAGGAAAAGAGTAGCAGGGGAGAAATATGGATTGGGCCTAGGAAACATGTTGACTTTGAATATCACAGGGGGTTCAACAGGGATTTGATCAAAATTGTCCTCCTGCTTTTGGAATGGGGGACAGAGGATGTGGTTCTCTGACCCCCATCAGCTCAGAATGTAGTCTTTCCCTTTTAAACATCTACTGAGTCACCAGCAATTCCTGCTCAGCAGCCAATAAGGGGACTGGTTTAGCATCTCTGATCTGCCCAAGTGATGAGTCACGCATCTGGTCAGCTACAAGCAGGAGGGCCACTTTGTGTAGGAGTCAGCGCCTGTTTCATGTATGGTGAAATGTTTGAAGTCTCCCTATCCTAGGACATACTGCTAATGGTGTGATATCTCATGTTTTAAAGTATTCTTTTTGCACTGATGCTCTTTCAACATCTACCTTTTCCTGTGTGTTGTAGAGAGACAGTGTCAGACAAGAGCTAGGCTTGTTGACTATACTTTCTATATAAAATAGAACTGTCCAGGAGGGGATATCTATAGGACGGGAATGATCAGGGCGAAGAATAACTAGAAGAGACTCATGGGAGCAGGAAAAGGTTATTCCAGCCTATCTCCAGGAGAAGCAAGAGTAAAAATTGGAGGAGATTTAGAGAGTGGGGAGGAAATAAAGAGATTGGCTTCATATGACATATCTTCATGTAGAAACATAATAACTCATTTTCCACCACATGTTGAGACTACAGACCCTTTATGGAAAGTGAGTGGATGAAAACACATCTATGAAGTGTCTTCTGTTTGCCATGCACCATGTTAAGCACTGGGGATAAAATACAATGTCAGTACTTCAGCTGAGACTCTCTCCCTGTAAGGTGTATTCTTTGGTACCAAGGATCTAGCTTGGTAGATTGAAGTTTTGAATTTGGTGCTCTGCCTCTTTCCATGGTGGTTTTTTTTTAAATATTTCCCTCAGCTTACTGAATAGTCTTTTGTCTTCATTCTCTAATGTGACTGGTTTCTCCTTTGGTCTCTTGCAGCACCTGCAGATAAACTGGACAGGCCTGCTGAACCTCCTTGATGCTCCAGGTATCAAGTAAGTGCTGGTGTCCTCTTAGAGAACTACTTTTCCCAGGGCCAGGAGGAAGCACACAATAGCTGTCACCACTCAGCCTAGTTGTGCAAAGTTGTCCTCTAGTGCCCCCTCCCATCCTCACCTCACATTCTCCATTCTGCCAACTTTCAGCATTAGAGTGATGGCAGACCTGGTACCCTTGGGTCAAGCCCAGCTGTTGGCTCTATAGCAACTTGATATTTTATCTTCAAGTCAACACTGACTGCCCTAATCCTGCCCCTGGAGGGAACAGGCTGTCTGGCTAGTTCTCACAGACATCTTCCCATATAGCCAGCCAGCAGTTCTAATCATCCCCATTCATGTAAACCTCATGTTGAGGAGTCATAGAACCATAGATAGAGTGCCAGGTCTGGAGTCAAGAGGACTTGAGTTCAAATCTGACCTCATAAACTTGCTAACTGGGTAGCCATGGGCAAATCACTCAACCCTGTTTGCCTCAGTTTCTTCATCTGTAAAATGAGCTGGAGAAGGAAATGGCAAAACCACTCCAGTATCTTTGCCAAGAGAACTCCACATGGGGTCACAAACAGTCAGACAAGACTGAAACTACTGAATATCAGTAGAACCATAAAATGTTAGGTTTAGAGTTGGATGAGACCTTCTTGGTCTTTGAGTCCTACCCTCTCATTCTGAAGGTGAAGAAATTTAAGAAATGAAAACAATGAAAGATTAAGTGACCTGCCTGGGGTTATCCAACTAGTAAGTGTCTGAGGGAGGATTCAGACGAAGGTTTTCTTAACCCTAAATCCAGCATTTAATCCACTACCTCACACTGTTTTATAATCCAATTTGGGTTCTTGCTTACTGAAACTCCCTTTGGACACTTTAAACATTTAGTTGGAAATAACATTTTTTTAAAACTTCTGGGATTCAAACAGGGAAGCAGTATTATGTGGTGGAAGAAAAGCACAGGATTTAGTGTCAAAATACTTGGATTCAAGTCAGCGAGCATTTATTAATCACCTACTGTGTGCTGATACTCTACAAATCCCAGCTTTGTGTTCTTATCTGTAAAATGAGGGACCTGGATGAAATGATCTTTTTAACTTATTGCCAACCCTATATTTTATGATTTCTTGAGGTTACAGATCTTAAAATGAGGATGGAGAGCTCTCATCTACACTGTCCTAAAAGAGGGCTGCATGATCAAATCTTTGGAGATCACTTCTACCTCTGATTTTGTGACTGATTCTTTGAGATTGAGAAAAGAGTGAAAACACAACCCCTCAATTCCCTTTTTTTCTTCATATGAGAGATAAATACAGCTAACTCCCCCCACCCTCATCCCTACTCAAAAGTCAGTCCTGAGCATCCACCTACTGTGTAAGCAGTATGATATTGGATGTCATGAAGGGATCCAGAGAAAGGAGGAAACATGGGCCTGCCCTCAAGGATCTCCATGTCTAATAGGAGAGCTGTGGTCCCTGCCCTTAGCCCATAGCTTACTCACCACAAACATATGTAAGGACATAATGATTGGCACTACAGAATGGGGTTAGGGGGCAGAGGAGAGAAATACTGGAGTGATGGCATCCCTAAGAGACTTCCACTATAGAAAATCCCAATTGAATAGCTGCTACCCTCAGACTCTCCCTTGGTAGCTAAATAGAAAAATATTTACTGCTTTATAGAAGCTGAGTAACCATTTAATATAAACATGCCTCTCTGGGAAATACAAGTTGGACCAGAACAGGGTGAAATTTGCTTACCCAGTGCTAGCTACAAATTCCAACCTTCCCTTGGGCTGGTTCTTTGCTGTGGTTTAGAAAGCACCTTGTTGATCAGTGAGAGTAAGGGATTTAGGTCCTCACTGGTTTTTTAACTTTTTAAATCCATGTGAACAGCCTGCCACGGTGGGAAATCCAACATTGTGGACAGTTTATCTTCTGAACCACAGCCTATGGTGACCAGAATCACTTCTTCTTGGTCAGAGCAGCTCTACCATATAACTCACATTACAGGGCAGGACCTGAATGCCATTCTGTTTCTTCAGAGATCTTGTTCTGGGTCAACACCCCTCATAAACCTGTCTCTGCTTCCTGATTTGTTCATCTCTGCCCTGTGATTTCCTGAATGTTACCTTCTGACCAATGTGCTCTATGGAGGATGGGGTTGAGCAGAGGGATAGATGCTTATTTAATGCAGTGAAAAATGTCCTTTCCTCCTTACTCTTTCAGTGAGAATCAGCAGAGATAGTTCAAGTGGGAGGAGACCCAGGGCTACCTACCTTATGGAGAAGACTGTGATCCCTAAGGGCTATAAGTTGGAAAATGTGAATGAAACTGCCATACCATATTCAGTGAGGGGGAAGGTACCTACTATTTCAGAGAGTTTGGATCTGGAGAAGAGAAAGAAAGCAAAGCTAATTAGGTACTGTATAGACTCCTGACTCTGCCCTTCCAGATTGCCACCCCAAAAAAACCACTTATTGGATTCTCTTCTCGAAATTCTTTGGTCCGTTTTGCCTGGCACAGTGGGGGAAATGCTGGATTTGAACCTGGGTTTGAATCCTGGCCCTGATTTTCACTGACTGAGGTATACCCTAGGAACCCATATATGGTTGCAACCCATACTTTAAGAAGCGCTGAAGGGATCGTGAGTGGAAAAAGTTTAAGAAGCCCTGCCCTAGACAAATCATTTGTCTTCTTGGGCCTCAGTTTCCTCACCTACAAATTGAAAGTGTTGGATTAAATGGCCTCAGAGATCCCTTCCAACCCTAAGTTTATGATCTCATGATTCTATGCCCAATATGTCAATCCTTTAGTCATATTATCCTCAGCCCTGAGGGTGCAACTGAGTTGTAGCAAAGTTCTGAGCTCTCTAAATTTAACCTTGCTCCTAGGACTTACCAAAGATGCTTGACTGCTATGTTATGCATATTCACTATTTGCATGTAAGTGTGTACATACATATTCATTAAGAGCATGCATATATGTATACACTATGCCAAGGACCTCCATAATCTCTATTCATTCTTCTACTGCTCTTTGTCATGAATCAGACCAGGTTTTGGGGAGGGAGGATGTTTGGAATTGTATGAGACCTTTAAAGAGATTGAGTCCAACCCCTCATTTTTCAAATTAGGAAACTGAGGCCCCAGCAAGATTAAATTACTTGCCAGGGGGTCATATGGCCAGTAAATATGGAGGCATGGGGGATGCTAGAATAAATTTTCCCAAGGCATCTGTCTTAATGTTGAAGTCCCTAAAACTACTTTGGCTTAAAGCTACTTTTTCAACTATCTCTTATATAACTTTCATATTCTTAATGTCAGTCATTATGAATATAAATAGTTCATTATCTATACTAGGGCAAATTGAGGGAGCAAATTGGAAAAATTCAAAGCATTTATATTTCCCTTTGAAAATTAATCTGGGGCAGCTAGGTGGCGCAGTGGATAGAGCACCAGCCCCGAAGTCAGGAGGACCTGAGTTCAAATCCGGCCTCAGACCAAACACTTGACACATACTAGCTGTGTGACCTTGGGCAAGTCACTTAACTCCAATTGCCTCACCAAAAAAAAAAAAAATTTAATCTGATGCCATGCATTGGGTACATGCCTATAATCCCAGCTACCCAGGAGGCTGAGGCTAGCAAATCTCTGAGCTGCAGTGAGTAATACGTCATTTGGGTATCCAGACTAAGTTCAGCATTAATATTAGGAGCCCCTAGGAGCCCCCAGGTTAGCTAAGGAGAAGCAAACCAGCCCAGGCAGAGATGGAAGCAAGTTAAAACCTCCCATGCTAATCAGTAGTGGGACAGGCGCTTGAGTAGATTCTACATTTTCAGGCCAGATAAGTTAGGGAGAACCTATCTTTCCTTTTTTTTTTTTTTCTTAAGGGAAGAGAAGTGGAAAGGAAAGAAAAGGAAGGAGAAAGGAAGGAGGAAGGGAAAAAAAAAGTTAACCATACCTATGACATAAACCCTTAGACATACTCTTTCCCCTTGTGCCCTGATGTCCTCCTTTGTCTGGCCCTGTTGATTGGGCAGCTGGCTGTGTCTATTTGGGAAAAGAGGTCACAGGGCACCATGGATAATCCACAGTTGCAGATAACTGCAAATTAATTTCATAATTATGACAGCAATGATTGTATTTTGTTTGTAATTCAGAGGGCTGGAGGGTGTGTGGTGTTGAAAGAAAAATATCATCTGTGATGAGTATGACCATCACCATCACAGCCTATGTTCCCATTTGCCCCCCAGTGAAATGTCAGACAGCATGTTTGAAGACCTCATCGCTGCCCACCTTGTGCTGCCCAACAGAGTGACGGTCCCCGTGAAGAAAGGGCTGAATATAACCAACCTTCGGTTCCCGCTACCCTGCGTGAGTGCCCAATTCAGGCCCTTACAGAGAGAGGGGAAGGAGAAATCAAGCCAAAGCACGTTTGGCACAGGGCTCTACACACAGTGGGTACTCAGTCCATGATGTAGTCTGGCCTAGTGTTAAGGGAAGCTGGACATGGTTTCTCCATGTGTAAATTGGGAAGACTCCCTTTTTTGTTCCTTTCTTCATGAAGGAATGTTGCAATTTACATAAGACAATGGAGGAGAAAAGCTCCTTCACAAGGAAAGAAAATACTTTTTTCCTCTTAAAAATTTTATTGTAATTTTTTGTTCTTCCATCACCTTTATTCCCCAGATATATCCTCCATTCTCTCCTACCTAGAGAGCCATCTATTGTAATGAAAAATGGGTAAAAAGAAAACAAAAAGCAGTGGAGCAGACTAACTAAGTGCATTAACTGCATCAGACAGTATATGCAGTGTTCCACACCCACAGTCCCCCATTTCTGTAAACAGTGGAGGAAGATGGGTTTTGGCCTCTCTTCTTTTTGAGGCCAAGCTTGATCACTACAGTTACAGAATTCAGTTTTATTTTTTCTTTTACATTGTTGTAGATGTATATGTGGTTCTCCTGGTTCTGCTTTCTTCATTTGCATCAGTCAGTTTATCTAAGTTTTTCCATGCTTCTGTGGATCGGAAGCCACCCTTTAACCTAGGGGACTTTTTCATTATATGACCAGAGAGAGGTCTTTCCTTGTGTGGTCATTGGTTGTGGTTCAGTCATTGTCAGTCATATCCAACTCTTTGTGACCCCACTTGGGGTTTTCTTGGCAAAGATACTGGAATTGTTTGCCATTTCCTTTTCCAGTTCATTATATAGATGAGGAAACTGAGGCAAACTGGGTTAAGTGACTTGCCCAGGGTCTCAACCAGTAAGTGTCTGAGGCTGGATTTGAACTCAGGTTTTCCTGACTCCAGGCCCAGCACTCTGTCCTCTGTGCCACCTTGCTACTCCCTTGTGTAGTCACACTGGTATGTAAACCTATCCTTTTCTGGCCCCTCTGATCTGCTAGCAAACATATCTGGAAAGAGAATCTAGTCGTTTCCCAGTGAGGGGGAACTGTTTGGTTCACTACCTGGTTAGATTTTAATAAGTGAGAAGCACAGCACACCTGGGCAGGAAAGGAATGAGGAAATGTCTCACAGAGCCTTAAGTTCAATCTCATCTTTCTTCTCTTTGTCTCCTGAACCTCCTTGTTGGGAGGCTGTGAGCTCTGACCCTTGGAGCTATTTAACCATCCTTACACATCCTCAGATTTCATTAGTCCAGCTCAGGTCTTCTCATTCAATACCTCTCCCTTGGCAAATATCTCTTTTAATCTCCTTTGCTACTCTAAAGCTGCTACTTGTTTTTTTCAATTCTCTATTTACCTTCTCTCAGTCTTGATAGCTGTTTTATTTGTCCTTCTCAGGGAATTTCCTTCTAGGTATTTGAATTCTCATTGGACAGCGTTCTTGTTTGTACCATCTGCCTCCTTGCCAAAAATGTGTACAGTGAATGTTCATCTTTGCCGCCATTTTGCCCACTTTAAAATAGCTTATTGAGTTGCTTCTCCCTCCTCTCAGCTCTCCCGGGTCTAAAGCTCAAGGATGTGGGGACATAATGGAAAGAGCACTAGATTTGTTATCAGAAGATCTGGTTTTAAATCTTGCCATTTGCTGGCTATCTTGCCTTGAACATCACCTTTCTGGGCCTTGGTTTCCTTATTGGTAACATGAAGGGGTTGGACTAGGTAATCTCTAATGTCTCTTCCAACTTGAACATTTCTTGAGTATTTGTAAATATGGTTGAATTTGAAGTCAGGGCAACCTGGGTGAGATGCAATCCCTCTATTGAAAGGGGGAATTGGGCCAGCTGCCTTGGAAGACGTTTTGTCACCTGCTAACCCAATGAGGTCATCCAATCAGATTCAGTTAAACCAGAGAAATTAAATAGCTGTCAGTATACAACTGCTTATTTAAACATCATAGTACTACTGTTTGTTATCTAGTATAACAGACATCAAAAGAAAATTGACAACTTAGATTTTTTAAAAATTTAAGAGGAATTTTTTGAAAAATTAACAGATTTAAGTTAAAACTTCCAATTTACAATTGAGCTTAAAATTCAATTTTTCAATGTATTCTTGAGATGGTCATTACTCATATAACTCTTTTATATGTCCTTATTCTGTATAACTCTTTTAAAATATATATATATACATACATATAATATTTTGCTTTTTCCCATTACATGTAAAATAATGTTTAACATTCATTTTTTTAAAATTTTGAGTTTCAAATTCTCTCCCTTCTTTCCTTTCCTCCCCCCCCCATTGAGATGGAAGCAATGAACAATTAAAAAACAATTAAATTTAAATATATCAAGTCCAAAATAGGGTGGCTAGTTAGTGTCCCACTAACAATGGAAAGTCATTTCAGGCAGCTAAGTGTCAGAGGGGACAGAATGCTAAGCCTGGAGACAGGACGACTCATCTTCCTGAGTTCAAAGCTGGCCTCAGAATCACTAGCTGTGTGACCCTGGGCAAGTCACTTAACCCTGTTCGCCTCAATTTCCTCATCTGTAAAATGAGCTGGTGGAGGAAATGGCAAACCACTCCAGTATCTTTGCCAAAAAAAAAAAAAATGCACATAGAATCACAAAGAGGTGGATACAACTGAAATGACTGAATAACAACAATTACCCACTGCGCTGTCCATCTTACCTGTCCTAGCATTGATTCTCTTTCATCTGTGACATGCCACACTCTATCATGCATTACATGAGCAGTGACCTTACCACATTTGGTTCAAGATCATAATCGTGGGAGAGGACAATATAATAACATCCCTATCTTCCTGAACTGAAATCCACCTCTATGTTTGTATGTGTACCTTCACAACCTCAAATAAGTTTAACCATGCCTGTTTTTTTTTTTAAGTTAAATTTTATTTTTTCAGTCGGCAAAAATCTGTGTTCTCTCCCTCTCCCCACTCACCCCAGTTAAGAAAGAAAAATAAAACTCTGGTTATAAACATGGATAGTCAAGCAAAGCAAATTACCACTTGTCATTTTTCCTTGTGAATAGAAGAGCAGCCATGGATTTGTGATTTATTCCACCTCTTTCCTGACAAAGATATAATAACCTTCTCTACAAGTGAAAAAACCCAGTTTCAATCCTGCCTTTGACACTTGCTATGTGACCATAGGCAAGATATTCTGAACCAATTAGGAATATTAAAAAAAAATTATATCCTTGGACCCAAAGAAAAGTGTTCTTTAATATTGGTGTGTTCAGCCACTTTGATAAAGATTTCTCTTTATTTAAAAGAAAAATCGTAAAGGCCATAGTTCTGATCTATATGTTAAAATACTGTTCTTTGGAACCATGTGACTGAAGCATCACTGCCACCTCATGGAAGTTTACCCTTACTGCAAGCAAAATTATGTAGGAGGAAATAAACCACCACTAGGATTTTGTTAAAGTCATGAAATGCCATGATGCCACAGTGAAATGTGGTTTATAATAAAGGTCTCCTAATTAAATCAGCCTTTTGATACTGAATCTTCAGTGTACTTCCACTTGGCTGGACAAATAAGGAAATATAAGTAGAATTGGCTGATTTAAAAAGAAATTGAATCAGTTTTAGAAAAGTGTTGGAGGAAAATAGTCAGGGCTATCACTAGCCAAACAACCTGCTCGGTGAGATTCCCTTCACTCAAATAATAGACATTCTGCCTGAGAGCAATAGAAAAGGCTTCAGACCCCTGCCCCTCACCCCCACCCCCAAGGCATTCTTTTTGCTACTGGAGTGATCAGGGAATGTTTCATGAAAGAGATGGAATTTGGGGCAGCTAGGTGGTGCAGTGGATAGAGCACTGGCTGTGGAGTCAGAAGGACCTGAGTTCAAATCTGGCCTCAGACACATGATACTCACTAGTTGTGTGACCTTGAGCAAGTCACTTAACCCTGATTGCCTTGAAAAAAAAGAAAGAGGTGGAATTTGATTCAAATAAAAAATATTCATTTGGTATCTCCTATTTGAATTTGAACTGTATCTTGGATGGGAAGTATTTAGTTAAATGTAGAAAATGGGGACAAGATCACTATAAGGAGAAAAAGTGGAATAAGGAAATAACCTTGGACACACCGTGTATACCATACCATTGTATCAGTAATCATAGTGGACATGTGTATAGCATTAGATTAAAAAAAAAACACTTAATATACCTTTTTTAATTTGATAGGCAGCATGGTGTTACAATGGATAGAGTGCCAGGCCTGGAATCAAGAAAACTCATCTTCCTGAGTTCAAATCCAGCCTCAGATACTTACTAGCTGTGACCCTGGGCAAGTCACTTAACCTTGTTTGCTCAGTTTCCTCATCTGTCAAATGAGCTAGAGAAGGAAATGGCAAACCACTGTAGTATCTTTGCCAAGAAAATCCCAAATGGGGTCATGAAGAGTCAGACACAGCTGAGAAACAACTGAACAACATTTGATTTGATGAACACAAGAGCCGTATGAACTAGTTAATACAAGTATTAACCCCATTTTGCAGATGAGGAAACTGGGTCTCAGATTACATAACTGCTTCACCCAGCTATTAAGTATCTAAGGCAGAATTTGAACCAGGGCCCCCTCTACTTCATAGTTTTTTCCACTGTAACAAATAGCATATCAGTATCCCTTTCTATCTTTTACTAATTACATTTCAATTAGAATCTCACTGATGTGGTCAGGGAAACATTCCAGGCATTTGAGATTTAGGGAAGCATTTTATCTCATTAACAACCAATTTGGAGCTTGTAGCCTCCTATGCAGTGATTATAGTGACATCTACGCTACAAGAAAAGTTGGGGGAGGATATGGGTTTTTTTAAGGGAGGCTAGTTGAGATTTAGATATGTTGAATTTGAAGCTATTCAAATAGTAATGGCCAGTGGATGCTGAAATCATAGAAGCATATAATTACAAGCCATCTGGTCTGTGGGGTCTACCTCCTCCCTATACAAAAGAGGAAACTAAGACATAGAGATGTTAAGTAACTGGCTTATAGTCACATCGTGTGAATCAGCTTTCCAAGGGAGCGATTATGAAGAAAAAAGAGCAGAGGACTAAAAACTGAGCTTTGGGATGTGCCTAGTTAGAGGTCTAGAAGACTGGCAACAAAGGAGTCAGAGTGGAAGAAGAGCTAGAAGAATATAATGTCATAGAGAAGAAGAGAGAAAGAGCTTTAAAAAAGATAGTGGTTAGCAGTGTAAAATGAGAAAAGGAAAGCACAATTTTCATAGTGTGGTTGGGATGGACAACATGGTTGGTACATATTTGTTGTTCAGTTGTTTCAGTTGTTCCAACTCTTCGTGACCCCATTTGGGGTTTTCTTGGCAAAGATACTGGAGTGGTTTGCCATTTCCTTCTCCAGCTCATTTTACAGATGAGGAACTGAGGCAAAAGTTAAGTAATCACACAGCTAGTGTCTGAGGCCAGATTTGAACTTAGGAAGATGAGTCTGACTTCTGGCTAAGCATTCTATCCACAGTGCCACCTAGCTGCCCTTGGTACACATTACTTCTTTCAAAAGTTTGTCAGTAAAGGGATGGAAGAGAAACTAGTTAATAATTGAAGTTGATGAAATAAAGCAAAGATTTTTTTTCAAATAGGGAAGATCCATGAATGTTTGAAGACAGAAGGGAAGGACCAAAGGATTAATATCTATGTTTTAGGAATACAGATTTGTATGTGTATGTTGTCTACTATAAGACATACCTGATGAAAAATTCAGGCCACCTCGATGATTCAGACTGAATACTATAGGAAGACTATGGTAGATTCCCTCCTAAAACTCCCTTGGAGGATGCCAGAAGGCATCCAGGAGATATAATATATCATCATGGTTCTCAAAAGGGTTTGTAAACCAATACTCTGCTGTTCAAAACAGGAAAAATCTGGAAGGGGCTAAGACATTGTTCACTGTCACTGATTTCCTTCTCTACATTAATGGCCTTTGACTTAAGGTAACCCAGAGACACATGAAGAACTAGCAGACTAGTAGCCAAGTAAGCTTTAGAGAAACTGAGCTCTGAGAGAACTTTGTAGAATTTCTGGGAGTAGAGTCACTTAATAGTAGGAGCTGGGAGAAAGGATAAAAGCCAGGACATAACAGAGCAATTGAGAGCCCAGGATGTTAGATCACAAGAAGATACCACCAGGACATAGTTTTTTACTCCACCTACCTTCCCACTCTCAGAACACATAGGACAAAGGATCAGGGTTTCAAGGGAAACAATCATGAGTATCAATAAATTAGGGGAAGGGAGACCTCCCTGCATGATCATTTGAGAACAATGGGCCATCCCCAGTTACCAGGAGTAGTCCAAGTGCCTGCCACGGGTGAAAAATCTAAGGGATGTCAGGCTAGGGAAAGATCTTGTGAAACATCCCAAAATAGAAAAAAAAAATTTACTGTCTCCACCCCTCCTTCATTAAATAGGACAGAGGGTCTTAAATACTTTTGTGCCACGGATCCCTTTGGAAGTCTGGTGAAGCCTATAGAACCCCTTCTCATAATAATGGGTTTTAAATGCATATAATAAAATGGATGGGATTACAAAAGAAAAATTATATTGAAGTCATTATTAAAGTATTTTTTAAACCTGAATTTATGGACCATAAGAACTCCTTATTAAAGGAGGGGAGCACAAAAATTTTAATTTTTAAAAAATTAAAAATTTTAAGGTCTACACTGTATAGAGAATAACAGTTGCTCCTCAGAAAGCCCTAAAAGAACCAGAAACTCTTGATTAGGTCTTTACTCAGAGAACCAGAAACTAAGTCTCCAAGCCGTTGGTTTTCCTCATATACGTGTGACTTAGAAAAGAGCATTAAGATAATCAGGCAGTCAATAAGCATTCATAAAGTGCCTGCTATGTGTCAGGCACTGTGCTAAGTACTAAGGATACTAAGAAAGGCAAAAGACAACTCTGATGGAGTAAATCGGACCAGAACCAGTCTGTAACCTGTGGGTGGCTGGAGCCGAACAAAGCAGGCTAGAGACAAGAGAGTCAGGAATCACACAGAAGTTTAATTTCAGAGTGAGGAAAATGCTTGCAAATGGAAGTCCTCCTGAGGAGGGCTTGACATGCTGGAGCAGGGGTAGTTATAAGCCTGAAAATACAAAAAGGTTGAAACCAACACAATCATTTGAAGGCCTTGAGTAAACAGTTCCCACGGCAGGCCCACGCATGCAGTATCTTTGGGACAATACAGGTGGTTCTGGAGTCCTGTGGGAATAGTCTCCAAGTTAGTAGAATTGTTGAGTATTGTGATTGTCTCAAGTTGTAGGGATCATTGAATCTTGTGATCATTCAGCAGGGTACGGAACCAGAGTTAGCATGCCAGGAACAGAAGTGCTGCCCCTGGTTTGGTTCACTTAGCAGTTATAAGCACAGGAATTCAAGAATTGTTAGCATGTCAGGAGAATTTGATTGATCACTTTCTGCTGCAGCATGTTGGCTGCTTCTGGCTCTCAGGTTCCTGGGAAATAGGGTACACCTATCAAAGCAATACAAAAATTGTATGATTTTGCCATAGGTGAGTGCAAAAGATTGTTGTTATGCCAAACTCAGGGCACAGCTTGCTTGCTAAGCATTAGCCCTGGAAAATAGGGTATCTCCTAGTATTTTGACAAGTTCACAGTTAGTGAGAGAAAGAACATGAAAACAACTATGAACAAATAAGATATATGCAGGATAAAGTGGAAATAATCAACAGAAGGAAGGGATTAATGTTAAGGATGACGAGGAAAGGTTCATAGAAGATTTTAGCTGGAATATAAAGGAAGCCAGGAAAGCCAAGAAGTAAGAGAATTCTAGGCATAGAGGACAGCCAGTGAAAATTCCTGGGAAAAAACAAATATATATTAAGCAGTCATACTTTGCTGATTCTTAGATTTCTACATTAAGGTAGTAAATCCTCCTTTGGGTTAGCAAAGATAATAACCATTATAGCCCTTTTGTATTGTAGTGAGAAATGTGCCCTATATTCAACCAATTTATCAACTAGTAAACATAAGGAATGATATTTGACCTGCAGAAGACCCAAATCATTTTTGTCTTTCATTTTTCTATAATGTCCAACTCTTTCTGACCCCATTTGGAGTTTTCTTGGCAAAGTGGTTTACCACTTCCTTCTCCAGCTCATGTTACAGATATGGAACTGAGGCAAAGAGGGTTAAGTGTCTTGCCCAGGGTCACTCAGCTAGTAAGTGTCTGAGGCCAGATTTGAACTCAGGAGGATGAGTTTTCCTAACCCCAGGCCTGGCACTCTATTCAGTGTACCACCTAGCTGCCCCAAAATATAAATATGAAATATATAATCATGGAATCATATAATATATAGATGGAAGGATTTACATAGATGAACTAGTCCAATCTCTTCATTTTATGTGAGGAAACTGAGGCTCAGAAAGTTACAATTATTTGCCCACCATGTGATGTCTTAAATAAGTATTAAGTCAGTGTTAAAATAAATTTAAAGTCCTGAAACACGCCCCAGATAATGGCCAACATGTGCTAGAGATGTTGGGAGAGAAGCCACTTTGAGTTTAAAATTTTGCTGTGTTTTAATCACCTACAGATATTTGAGAATTGACTGTTGTAATAATCAAATACTGGGAGATACTTCCTAATTGCTTTGTTTTTTAAAGAGTTTCTGTCCTCTTGATGTGGGGGTGGTGTTTTTCAGGGAGTTATCAGAGTTTGCTTGTTGGAGGCTGAGAAACTAGAGCGAAAGGATGGTTTCCTGGGGTTGAAAGGCAAGTCAGATCCTTATGCCCTGGTGACTATTGGCCTCCAGAATTTCCGGAGCAAGACTGTGTACAGGAACTTGAACCCTATCTGGAATGAAGTTTTTGAGGTAAGAGTGTCCTCAGAATCTTACCTTTCATCTCACTCTTTAATCTTCTAGATCCAACTGTCTTTCCAGCTCTCTGTGTCTTTCTGCCTCTCACTGTATGTTCCATGGGAACATCTGCCCCTTAGAAAAAGTGTAAGTGAAGTTTGCTTAGGACTCCTCCTTTCTCTCTCCCCTCTCCCATGTTCCTGATGCCCATATGTGATCGCCTATCTAATAATTATAGTACTAGCTAACTTTTGTATAGCACCTATTGTGTGCCAGGCACTAAGTGCTTTACAAATATTATCTTATTTGATCCTCTTAACAACCCTGGTTGGTAAGGGATATTATTATACCCACTTTACAAATGAGGAAACTGAAGCTAACATAGGTTAAGTGACTTATGAAGTGTCACACACCTAGTAAGTGGCCAAGGATGTCTTTGAACTCAAGTCTTCTAGATTTCAGGTTTGATGCTACATCCACTGTGCCACCTAGCTGCCCAGTGTTTCCCAGAGGACTTGCTTTTCTGAGTTGCATTCCATATTCTGGATCACTCTCAGGTGTTTTTTTAAGTCCTTGACCCTGACTCCATCTTGCTATCCTTATAACTTTCCTAACCTATATTTAATAGCCTCAGGGTTCTGACCTCTGCTTTTCAATGTCATGGCTAGCTAATCTGATTAAGCTAATGCTGGTATATTAATGGGAGAGGACTATCCTTTCCTCCTGCAATGTTTGTACTTTACAATAATTTCTGTTTTTGTTCCCTTACCCAAAGAAATTGGACTAGGTGGTCTCTGAAGTCCTAGCCAGCTCTAAATCTATGAACTTGTATAAAGAATTTCTGACCAGAGAGAAAGGTGGTAGCAAGTAGGTCAGGGACGACCCTTGACAGAATTGTGAAGCACACAACTTTTACTTTCCTTGCCCTCTGTCTCCCCCTTTTTATTTTTATTAACTCTTTGGACCCTCTTGGGTCTACCTGCTTTTAACACTTTGTGCCCTCCTCACCATCAAAGGGTGTGATGCCTGTGACCTATAATTTATAGCATGACTTTCATGGAGATTCACAAAGCGATAAGTAACCTTGACAGTCTGTCTGGTCCTGCCCTGTCCTTTCATGAGGCTGGTTGACTAGACTATCCAAAAGAAAGCTAGCTATTCTCTTCCTGAAAAGCCTCACTGTCTCCCTCAGCCACCCAAACCACTTTCAAGCCATAGGAGTTAAGGAGTTCTTTCATGAACAACCCAAAGCTTTCTTGCCTAAAGGGAGTTTCAGTAAGTAGGAGATGCAGGAGGACTTCCTGATATCAGGATTTTACTGCACTGGATGAATGAGGCTGCTGGCTGGCCTTGGGTCAGTCTCACCAGGCAGCCATATTGTCTTTTCCAGAGGCAGGAGTAGAACAGTGTAGCCTGAAGTATTGACATAGGGCCAAAGTATCAAGATGCTTTAGAACCCACATTTGGAGGTGACCCAAGGGGACAGGTTTGCCAATCACTGAACACCGAAAGCTGGCACAAGGGAGAGTGTGGGACTGGAGGTCATTGCACAATGCTGGGCTGGGTGTTGACAGAGCTATTATATGGTCATAAATTTGGTTTTATTTCTTCCTCATGCTCTGTGGGAATATCAAACTTCTGGAGAACACCAGCACTCTATCCCTTAAATCCTTTTGTTCCTTCTCCCAAGAATTTTTGCATTTTAAGCCTCTTCTCTTAATTCAGAATGAGAGCTATTTTTTCTTGTCTAAGGAATGTCAAACATTAGTCAGTTGTTTGTTTATTATGTGACTGGTGAGAAAGCCAAGCAATATTTTGTGAAGCAGAGAGCCCTCTCTGACTGAAGTCCAAGGACACAGGGCCTTATTTAATTCATTTCCACAATGCCTACTACATTCCAGGCACTAAGTGAGTTCATGGGGATACAAAGTTGAAAATCAACGGTCCCCCACTCTCAAGAAGTGTATAATCTGATGAGGACAGGACATAAATGGACATGATACAAACTAGAATGGGCTTGGGGCTAAGCAGAGATCCAGACAAGTGAAGGCAAGTCAATAAGCATTAGTAATACAAGCAGAAACAAAGACAGTCCCTGCCCTTATGTTCTGGAAAAATAATATATAAAAGGAAGCTGAAAAGTATGAAGAAGGTGGAGATGATAGAGAAGGTGTAGAGGATCAGGAGTGGAGCCTGGAGAGAAATGAAGACATGGATCATCTGGTTGTTTTCCTTAAAATGGAGATTCTGAGAGGAACCAGCCAATCAGAGGAAGAGACTACAGAGTAGTATGTACTTCCAGTGTGAGAAGTCATGAATAGAATGAATCTCCAGAGGGTGGCATGTTAAAGAAAATTAAGTCTTGGGAATAAAGCCTTTCTTATCCAAGAATAAATTAATTTAATCTGACTGGAGGGAAAGGGGCAGGATTTGGATACACAAGGCAATCTGGGGCTTCTGTTGATCATGCCATTAGTGATTCTACCCACCTTGCCTATGTGGGGTGAGTCTTGCAAGCCTGTGGGTCTGTGAGGCTTCTCCCTCCTCCCACTCAGCAGATCTTGATCACTGGGGGAAATCAGCAACACAGAGACTTATTGCAAATAAATCCTCTGAGAGCTGTTATTCCTTTTGTCCTCTGTGAATCTAATGATAACAAAGATTTTCTGATCTAGAATCATAAAATGTTAAGGCTGGAAGGGACCTTAGACATCATAAGATCACAGAGCAAAAGCTGAGAGGTCATCTAATGTCCCCTAACCCCATTGTGCAGAAGGAACTGAAGCCCAGAGAGGAGGTAGATGTCCCAAGTTCAGGTAGTTAGTTGGTGACTATCCCTCCTCCTTGTTAAGATGACTATGACCCTTTTGGATACTCTCCCTTGGAAAAAGAATCCTAGAGGGAGAGTTAGGTTACCCAATACCTCTTCCTCTCTGCCCACATCCTCCATTCTCCAGAAATAGGAACCTTCATTCTCTTCCCCTTATCTGTGTCATTTCTCCCCTATTCCCACCCCAACCAGGATGGAAGTCTCCTAGAAAACAATGGGACATGGACATAGGGACCTGAGAGAAAATTTGTTTCTGAGGAAATTAATTTTTCTTCATCTGTGTAATGAAGGGGTTGAATCAGCTGGTCCCTAAGGCCTCCACCAGCTCTAAATCACATGATCTCACTTTTCTGGGGGGAAGTTACCTGACAGCAGTAAATTGAGCCCTAGACATCCTTACCAGTCCCTGGCATTAGACGTAGGATACCACAGCTTTGGGGAAGGCATCTTGGTTGCCCTCAGCTGCCTTTCCAAAAAGAGATTATCTCTATGTACTTTGTAAAGCATGCAGACCTTTCATGAAATAATCATCCCAGATAAACCAAAATGGTGTAAGTATTAATGACAAGAACTGCTGTTAGGCATGTGAGTAGGGGGTGGGGGAAGGTGAAATCTGTTTTCCTTCTACTTGCCAGGGAAGTTGCTGCAAATCCTAAGGATATACCATCTACCCATTGCACTGCCAAGGAAACTTTTTCTCTTTCTGAAGTTTATAGTTTATGAAGTCCCGGGGCAGGACCTGGAAGTGGATTTGTATGATGAAGATACAGATAAAGATGATTTTCTGGGCAGGTGAGGATAACTCTAGAGTGGGCCCACAATGGCAGACTTCCTTTAATTAGGCTAACTATCACTTCAGGGGTACCAGGCTATTGGGCTGAGGAGCTCAGGGACTTAGATTTCTGCTGCCCTCTTCTGCCATTAGAAAACTGTACCATCCGTGAGGCTTGTAATCTCAGCTACTGTGAAAGCTGAGGCTGACTGATTGATTGAGTCTGGGAGTTCAGGGATGCATAAGGGCATAAGGGCTAAAGCCAATCAGGTGTCTGTGCTAAATCTAGCACCAGTTTGACAAACCAGTGGGAGGAAGGAGGCCACTAGGTTGCCTAAGGAGGGGCAGATGGGCTCATATTGGAAATAGGGCAGGTCAAAATTTCCATGACAATCAGCAGGGGGGTCAGGCCCTTTTGAGGGGCCCCCTGCACTTCCAGCTTGGACAAGATAGGAAGACCTAATCTCAAAAAAATAAATAAAAATCCAACCCTATAACCTTCAACTCCTGGGACATTTCACATGTCTCTAATATCCTGTTCTCTATCTCTAAATTATCTTGACTTAAAAAAAAAAAAACAACAAATCCTAAGGTAATTATCCCCTAGTTTCTTGGACCTCAGTTTCCTCATCTATAGAGTGAGGGAGGACTAGGTGTCTTCTAAGCTTCCTTCTAGTTCTTGGTCTATGATCCCATCCCCCTACCCTTATGCATCCCTGCTACATGAGGGGCTCTAGGCTAGTACAAATGAGTGGTGCTTCTGGCCTCACAGAAGACCTGCTTCCTTGATGCCTGTGGTCTTAGGAGTGCAGCCAACCCAGCAATTCTTTGCCAAGCCCACTTGTACATGAGGACTACTGTGTGAATTTAAATGAATATTTGTATGAAACTAGCCTTTTATTTCACTAGCATATTTGGAGATAAAATGTGACCACTTTGCAAAATTACTTTAGCATAGTCTTTTGTACCTTCTCAGCCTTCCCTCATCTTTTTTTATTTGTTCAGTTGTTTTTCAGTCATGTCCAACTCTTTGTGATCCCATTTGGGTTTGTTTGTTTTGGGTTGGGGGCGGGGGGTAAAGATTTCTTGGCAAAAAGTGGTTTGCCATTTCCTTCTCCAGCTCATTTTACAAATGAGGAACTGAGGCAAAGTTAAGTGACTTGCCCAAGGTCATAAGTTTCTGAGGCTGGATTTGGACTCATGAAGATGAGTCCTCCTGATTCCAATCCCAGTGCTCTATTTGTTGCACCACCTGGCTGTACCCTTCCCTCACTACAATTAGCCAAAGGCAGAAAGTGAGGAGTGAATCTGTGGTGAAGAGAAACTAGCAATTTAAGGGGGAAAGGGCCAAGGCCCACTAGGAGCCTGAAATAGATCACCAGAGTTCCTTTTTGTCTTTCAGCCTCCAGATCAACCTTGGAGATGTCATGAAGAACAGTGTGGTGGATGAGGTAAAGCCTTTGTCTTGGAACCCATAGTACGACTCAGAGTCAGAACAGGCCAGCAGCTCAGAGATAAATAACCTTTCTCCCCCTCCTCTTGTTACCCTCCAACCTAACAGTGGGTATAGTCCTGGAACTAGGTTATGGGGGTGGGCCCAGTTACTTCAGTTTAACTGATATGACCCTTTTCTGCTGAGACAGACACATGTTGTGTCCCTTATAAAGACATCCCTATTGCAGATGGGTGCAAAAGGTTCTTAACCTAGGGTCCATGAACTTTTAAGAAAATATTCTGATAACTGTTTTTCAATATAATTGGGTTCCTTGGTAATCTTATGTATTTTATTTTATTTATTTAAAAACATTCTAAGGAGTCACAAGATTGCCAAAGGGGTACATAGCGCACGCACACACACACACACACACACACACACACACACACATATACACACACACACACAAAGTAAGCTCTGCTTTAGCAGAAATATCATTGGGAAAGTTGCTAATGCTCATGTGCTCATGCTCACACTCGCTCCTTCTATTTTTTTTTTTAATTTGAATTCCAGATTCTTTCTCTCTCTCCCACTACCCCGCATCATTGAGAAGACAAGCAATATCACATCAGTTATAGATGTGAAATCATGCAAAATATATTTCCATATTAGCCATGTTGCAAGGAAAAAGAAAAACAATTATCCTTCAGTCAGCACTCAGAGTTCATCAGTTCTCTCTCTCTAGGTGGAGAGCATTTTTCATCTTGAGTCCTTTGGAATTGTCTTGGATCATTGTATTGATCAGAGTAGCTAAGTAACAGGGACCATTCTTAAGTCTTGTGAAGCTCTGTATTGAATACTAAACATAAGACAAACACAGAGACAGTCATATTATATGGGGAAACTGAGACTTTACAAAATAACTTGCCTAAGGCTGCATTGGTAGTAAGGATTCAACGCAGGTCCTCTGACTCTCACTCCAGTTCTATACTGCCTGTGTACAGAGGTCCAAGAAGAGTGCATGTTAGGCATGGGAAGGAAAGGAAAGAGCTTTTAAATTACTTAGTTGCTTTACTAAAAGGAAAAGAACCTATTTAGAGTCCCAACCCTTAGCAGATTTTTTTCCTTCTTAGGACCACAACTCCAAATCACTGAGTTGAAAGCCCTTCCTTGAAGTTGCCATAATGGGCATCTTGTTCTCTTTCCCAAGATCCTCCCACAGAAGTCAAGGACCTCTGCCTGAGATGCAGTGGCCAGTGTATTCTGTCATTCTGTCAGGTTGGGGAGGACTCACAGTATCTATCTGGTATTAGAAGGATCCCTGACGTGATGTGTCTCATACCCATTTTTTCACAGTGGTTTGTCTTGAACAACACCACAAGTGGCCGGCTACACCTGAAGCTTGAGTGGCTTTCTCTGACCACCTACCAGGAAGTCATGGCTGAGGTGAGTGTGGCAGGTGTGATGGCTCAACTGTCTGAGCTCTTAACCCTTTCCCTGCTGCACCTATCCCAGGTTCCCAACCAAGAAAACCCATGCAAAATTCAAATTTGTGAAACTTGAAAGGCCATTGTCCTGGGTCACTCACCTTCTAGTTAGGCTTCTGAATCTGAATCAGCCCTACTAGACAAATGGGAACTGCCACGAGTGAGGTAATAGGATTATTATGTCCTCTAAAGATAGCGTAAATTTGTAGAATTTAGAAATGGAAGGAATTTTAGAGATTAACTCACTTAGTCCCCTTATTTTACATGTGAGTAAGCCAAGGTCCCCAGAGGCTAAGTGACTTACCCTAGGTCACACAGTCGTAAGTAACAAAGCTGGGATTCAAGCCTAGGTCCCCTGACTCCAAATTCTGTGTTCCTTGTACTACAGTGTGTCATACTGTTTGGAAAGGACATACCCTTTGCTCTTTGATTCTATTTCTTCTACCAACCCTAAACAATCTTTTCCTTTTTTGACACAAATATAATCTGTTTACATAATCCTCTCCCTTGTTACTTGTCATCTACTAACAGCCAAATCACACTGCCAAATAGTCTCAATAATTATAGTATTTGCTTCTTATTTTTTTGTACTCATATCTTCCATCTTCATTGGAGATTTCAGTTGTTCATGGTGATGATCTCTCTGAACACCCAATTCTTCAACCTACTCAAGTCTCCATCCACACCCCATTGTGGCCACCTACTACTCTGATCATATCTTAAGTTTTCTCATTTTTTAGAATTTCTCTGTTTTTCAAAACTGACATTCTACTCTCAGAACTGACCCTCTTTTCCTTCCACTTCTTTTTCTCAAACACACTGACCTCCTTTTTGTCCTTCCTATATACCTTCAGTCCTTTGACCCACCCATCATCTCCCTGGTCATCTCTCCCACTGACTTCACTTAATCTCCTTAATTTTAGCAGGCTAGCTCCTAAGCATGTTTAGAGGGATTAGACTCTTCCCTATTCTTTTAAAAACATTTTCTACTGATATCTCTCCCTGCCCTATCCAGCAAGCCATCCCTTGTAACAAAATAATAATAATAATAGTAATAATTTTAAAAAGAAGTCTAAACTAACCAACACATCAACTGGGTCTGATAGAAGATATAATGTTTTGCTCCCATAGCCTCCCATCACTGCAAGGAAGAGAGCAAGGTATATTTTAGCATCTGTTCTCCGGGGGTTAAGTTTGATCACTATAACAACACAGAGTTCAATTTTGTTGTTTTTTTTTTTGACATTGTTGTAGTGTGTGTGTGTGTGTGTGTGTGTGTGTGTGTGTGTATGTATGTGCATGTAAGAGGGAGGGAGAGAGAGAAGTAAGGAGGCAAAGATAGAGAGAAAGAAGAAGACAGAGGCAGAGGGAGAGAAACATTTTCCTGGTCCTGCTTAATTAATTCTGCATTACTTTACATGAATATTACTTTACTTCTCTGAATTCTTATTTTTATAGAGCAGTACTATTCCATTTCATTCATATCACACAAGCTGCTTAGCCATTCCCCAATCAGATTTGCCCTAATCTTAAAAAAAAAAAAGAGAGAGAAACTTTTAATGTATTGTTTTAACAGCAAAGACATTTCTCCTTCCCCTCCCAAAGAACCATTACTTATAACAAAGAATAAAGGTAGGGGGGAGACAAGGAGAACCATGTTGTTATTGTTCGGTCATGTCCTATTCTTGGTGACCCCATATGAGGTTTTCTTGGCAAATATACTGGTATGGTTTGCCATTTCCTTCTCCAGCTCACTTTACCAATGAGGAAACTAAGGCAAATAGGGTTTTGTGACTTGCCCTGGGTCACAGAACTAGTAAGTGTCTGAGGACAGAGTTGACTCCAAGCCCAGTGCTCTATCCACTGTACCACATAGCTGCCACCAACACATTTTTTTAAAAAAAAGTTTTAAATTAAAAAAATATATATATATCAGTCATTATACACAATAATCCACACCCATAGTCATGATCTCTGTAAAGAAGTGAGAGAGTGCCTTCTCATATCTCTTCTTTGGAGCTAAGCTCTGTAATTATGATTTCACAACATTCAGTTTTGATTGTTTTATTGTTATTGTTTCCATTTACATTCCTGAAGGCATTGTGTATATTTTCATCCTGGTAAGGTTTTATTGTTAATCCTTTCATGTAAATCCTCCCCATGTTTTTCTATTCTTCAGACATTGTTGCTTACAGTGCAGTAGAATTCTATTACATTCATTTGTCACCATTTGATTAGCCGTTCCCAAATCAGTGGGAATTCTCCCATTCATTGAGGAAAATGCCATAATCTCCCCTCCATAGCCCCTGTCAGTGCTTCACAGTCCTCACTACTGGGAAGTTCTTCCTGAGTCTAACTTCATTTCCTCCATGCTTTAGTCCCCCTCTACATACACATAGAGAATAGTTGGTTATGGAGTAACAGATACCTACAACTTCCTGATCCAGGACCCCTGGTACTAGATTAATACCCTTTTGCAGAAGTGGCATTCTCCAGGATCATTATCTGTCCCATTTCTTGGGTAATTCTTCAAAAGTTACTATGGGGCAGCTAGGTAGCAAAGTGGATAGAGCACTGGCCCTGGAGTCAGGAGGACCTGAGTTTGAATCCACCCACCGACCAAACACTTAACACTTACTAGCTGTGTGACCCTGGGCATGTCACTTAACCCCAATTGCCTAAAAATAAAAAAATAAAAAAAAATAAATAAGAAGTTTAAAAAAAAGAGTTACTGTTTGTCTCTGTCTACAGGATCCCAGTGGCCTCTCAACTGCCATCCTTGTTGTCTTCCTAGAAGGTGCCTGCAATTTACCAGTGAGTAAGAAAAGTAGCCAAGTGCCTTCTTTGAATATATGTTTTACACATCCATGATGGTAACTCTTATTTTTCTACCTTTGCTGTAGAGAAATCCTTTTGAGTATATGAATGGTGACTATAGAGCCAAGAAACTGCCCAGGTGTGCCAGGGTAAGTGCTGGGATCCAGTTTTTCTTTTGAAAATGTAAAAGTTATGGATACTTTTTTTTTTCCTTTTGGCCAGAGTAATATTAAGCCCAGCATCCAATGAAGTCTTTGTTTGCTTAATCATTAAGCAAATATTTATTAAGCATCCATTGTGTGCTCTACGCTTCAATTCAACAAGCAGACATTTGTGTTTGTTATGCAGAAGACCTGTCCAGGTTCTGGGAAGATACCAAACTTTGATAAGACCCAGTCTCTACACTCCTGGAGTGTGTTGTCTAGTAGAAGGATAAAATACATGAGCAGATAAATACAAAATATAGTAACACATGATAAATACATTAGAAAACTTCAAGAAAGATCGAGATATGGGATCAGAATGGGAAAGTCATTATCAACAGGGTGGGTGGGGAGGACAGGAAATCAAGGCTTTAATAAAGTTAGGCTTTAAGGATGGGTAGGAGTTAAATAGATAAGGAGGGAGGACACTCCAGGCCAGAAAACAGCATGAAAAAAGCACAAAGGTGGGAGAATACAGGGTGTGTTTAGAAATGAGAGTGCACAAACTTGATTGTAGTATGTGGAAGGAGGCAATATGTGTCCAGGCTGCCTTGTCTACCCATCTCCAGCTTAGGCTCCAATTCTCCAAATACTTACCTGTCTTCTGCTCTTTTTCCTTAAGAGTCTCAGAATCCCAATTTGTCTTCAGGCTCAATAACAGTATTTGCCAGGTGATTTGTAAGAGTGAATGTACTGTTAACTTAACTGAGTGTTTGAGGAGGGAAAGACTGGGAAGTAGGATAAGTCAGGGCAAAAGCAGTGAGAGCTGACTCACAGTATTAAGTGATGATTGATTATCAGAAGAGTAATTCTATGAGCTCCAGGAGTGTTACCGATAGAAGACCTCAAAGATTGTGATTGACAAATCACCCTTACTTTCTCTTTTGATTTTTTTAAAAAAAATATTTTATTGAGGCATTTTGTATTTATGTTGGGGGGGGCAGTTGGGAAGAAACATCCATCCCCCTTCCAGATTGACCCCTTCCTTTTGACAAAGAATAACAGTTAAAACCATCTCATTCAGGGACTCTATCTGAAAGCATATACAACATTTTATCCCAGGTGTTCTTAGCTTTACTGCTTCAAGGAGGGACATATATTTAATTACCAATTTATTATCTGAGCTCTTCCCTTGGTTTTTTAATTACTCAGAGTTCACATTCCTTTTAGTGATCATTTACACTGTTGTAGTCATTGTATACTGAATATTTTCATTAAGCTGGAACCAATTACCATATTTCCCATAGTTATAACAGAAGTTATAATGTGATTTTGAAGACATGCAACCACTTCTTGCATCAATCAAAACCCAGCTGTATTGTTCTCCTGGTTCTCCTTGTTTCATTCTGCTTCAATTCATAAAAGTCTTCCCATGCTTCTCTGAATTCCTTATATTTGCCTTTTCCTACTACACAATAATATCCCATTATGTTCATATGCCCTAGTTTCTTAAGCCATTCCCTGGTCTAAGGATGCTTTGTTTCTAGTTCTTTGCTACCATGAAAAATGTTGCTATGAATATTTTGTTATATACCTAGGGGTGGGGAACCTG